ATGACAAAAGTTTATTATAAAGTCCTTTGAAAGAACAATCATTCAAGAAGGTTATGTGGGAAATCCAATCATATTTCTGGGTGAGCTACATAGAACCTTCAGTAATAAATGTAATTCTTTCCTTGCCATTTAGAGGTTATTCTGCTTTTCCTTTTATCTAGGCATTAAATGCTCAAGCAAATTTGCTGCAGTAAAGTGCCTTGAAAGCAATTTAAGAATGGTGTGTCTGTGCTCTTAAATATATCCAACAGCATATGCATGCCTAGACAATATAAATAAAGGTTTTAGGACCCTGTTCTCTTGAGTATCTATGCAAATGATGTCCATGGGCCTTAGCAACACACTCTCAGATGAGTTATAAAAATGGCATATTCTTTATGGCATAACTTTATGATAAGCAAGTGACCCAACTCTGATCTGAACTCAGGACTCCAATCCTGTAATACTACACAAACATTTTCTTTAAATCATGTGCCAGGGTGGAAAATTAATCTCAGGGAAATGTCAGATCAGAAGTGTCACAGAAAAATTCTGCATTTAGGGATTAAATCAATAGAGGCAAGGAAAGTCTTACAGGAAGGCCTTCCCTTTTTGTGAAGGCAGCGAGCCTGCTCAGCTTCCACTGAAACTGCTGTGGTTGTGCTGAGGACTTTCAGGACCAAACCCCAAATGTGTCATGAACAGCTTTCCCACAGCAGTAAGCTCTCCTCCAAATCCATAATGTGTATTCACATCACACATTGCTACATCGTTAGAAGAAGCACTGGCTTTTGGCAAATATTTTTATCATTAGCCCAGCTGACTTCAAATAACAGGAATTGAGCAGCAACAGAGAATTTCTTTTACCTATTAAAGTCAGAAGACTCCTGATGTGTAATGTAGTAGAATCCACCTACAGAGTAGTAGAGATCTTAGAGGACTTCATTTAATTTTGGAAACGGATTATTTGAAGTGTAATTTAGTTGTTGTTTTTTAAGGCACAAGCTTTTGTATCTTGCTATACATTCAAAATGTAAATGCTTTTCAAGAGATACTTTTCTCCTCTTTAATTATCAGCCAAATGATTAAAGTGAGACAGAAGCTGTAGACAGCTGTGGGAACACCTACCTGGTTAAGGATGATCACAGAAAGCAAATATTTCATCAATTTCACTGGTTGCTCTTCTGGAATAAAGTGTTGTAGGACTGAAATCTTGTATTGCCTTTTACTGACAAGATGTAATTTCCATTTCCATGGACTCATTTTACAGATTCTCACATATGTACAAATTTTAATCTGGTATTTATATTAACATAGTTTGATTGAATTTGTTACATGATGAACAATTTGGGCTATTTGTAGCAAAGGAAAGCCTGTTTGGGTTTTGGCAGAATGATAAGCCAAGTGTGCTTTAAATTCACTTTGCAATTGCATCCTCTACAAAAATAGAGCAGGCAAACAATAGCCTAATTACTACAGGTAATAGATGAGAAATTTGGAAGTTACAGAGCACAGGTGCTCTTGTAAATGGTATTATTTGGAAAATTTTAATGTTCAGTGACCCGTAAAGATGAATGGCAGGATTTTGTGGTGGTGTTGTGCAAGTTCAAGTAATGTTGGAATAGCATCTGTTTGCAAATTTCAGTAATTTTTGTCTTGTAGTAGAGTACTTCCACATGTGCGTAGCTGCAGATCTCAGGTCTGTTATCTGCAGATAAATAAAGATATCTTTTTGAATTAAGAATATTTCTGGTAACTGCTCAAAAGTGTGTAGCAGTGGAATTGCCCTGTACACAGCATGCACCTGAATATCCTCCATGGTAGGCCATTAATAAATTCCAGACTTTCACAGGTGAGTTCTCTTACCAGCACACTGTATCAATCACACACTTTAAATTATTTATTTTCTTTGCTTAGTTTGTTTTTAAGTAGTAGGGAGGCACACTTTCAGGTATGTGTGCACTAAGCACTACTTAGAACATCCTGGATTCTTTTCTGCTGGCCATTGTTGATTATAACATAATTTGGGCTGTAAATGTTTAATCTCACTAGGCTACAAAGCTGTGTGACATGTGGGGTTCTATTTAGTGAGAATTTTCCTGAACAGCCAACCTAAACAACTGACTCCAATAATTTCGGGTTTTCATTGTCTCATATATTTCGTACCAACATATGCTATACAACAAGAAAATGATGATGTTTTGTCCACAGTTTAATGTAAATTATTTATGACTTCCACAAGGTTAGTACAAGGAAAACATATTTCTAAATTCTGTTTTCAGTTAATTAATTTTATTTCTTTCTCTTGCATAATCTTACCAGAACTTTGATTTGTTTCCTTTTTTTTTTATTTTTGTCTAAGCATGTAATTTAGATATTCTCTCTTTTGTTTTGGCAGTTGAATAGAAGTAAATACATCATTCTGACTCTGTTGAAAACTGAGGTGCAATAAATCATCACAAAGATACTCTTATTGATCCAGAAAAAAATGGTTGTATACATTTTCACAAGGGCTTTCACAGGCCACAGCTGCATGAAAATACAAATAAGAAACTGCAGTTGTTCCAAGGAAGTGAAGCAACTGAAGGTGTTGGTTTAAGGCTCTATTAGAAAACTGAAATTATCTCAAATATGTGATGCTTTCAAAATAAGCTGTATTTGAAAAAAACAGCAGAATTCCATGCACAATAACAAACACATGGAACTTCTTTGTATGTGTAGCTAGGCGTTTTCAGAATTGTATTCCTCTCTTGTGAGCCTTTTCTCCTTTACCAGACCCTTGCTCTCCTGGAGGCACTTGGGTGTAAACTTCAATACTGCGAATAGTTAATAGATTTCCACTCCATACTGTCAGTGCACACACATTCTGTATGTTGCTAGTGGCAGGTGACCTATTACTATTTTTATGTTGTGTTTCTGTGGTACTTTCTTATCTTTGAGCACATCTGTGAGTTTGCTGCATGTGTTGCTGGACTGCCCCATTAGGGATGCTTTGCTCTGGTCTCTGGCAGAGACTGACATCCTCCAGCTCGCTGCAGTTCAGGGACACTTCATCCTTTCTGTGGGGGCTGGCTTTCATAGAGAAAGGATGTTCACTGAGATCTATGAGATCCTCTGCTTTGAGGTGGTTATGAACTAGGTTTTTCCCCCAAGGAGACTTATTAAGTAGGAAATACTATAAATAGTGTTTGAAAACTTCAGTATCTTCCCTAGCTCTTGACAAACAAAACTTTAAATTCTTTTTTTTTTATTTTAGAATAGTTTTTTTCAAGAGATAAAGGACCCCAGAAGACTTAGAAAGAAAAAAAATGTAGATTTATAATGTATATAATGTCTAACATAATATACTGCTATGAGGCAGCTGCATTGATGAGGGGAAATTCTGCACTCGTAGATGAAAAGAATTATTCAGGAAATTGACATCTAGATATGTCATCTATCATCCCAAATGAACTATTTGAAAGAAAAGTTCTTTCACTTTGATGGATGTTTAGCTATTTGAGATCATTGTGGATGTTCATCTTGGAGAAACTCCTTTATAACCAATACAAACGTCTGTGAAATGTAAAGAAAATGAAATGTGATCTTTTGGTATCCATGTTGAATATGCCCTAACAGTTTCCACTTCTAATCAGAGTGGGGTTGTTCTAGAATATTCACAAAACTTAGACCCATGCTCAGTGCTGAGTGTTGACATAAAAGTAAGCAGCTATTTTCCACATTAAAGATCGTTGAATACAGTGCAAATTGGAAAAAAAAGGAAATAACTATAATGACAAAGATGCTTACTTTAGAAACAGTATGTAGAAGTTGAAAGATCTTGTTCATTATAGGATTTGCAGTCCTTTAAAAGGAATTGTCCTATAAAATTATATCTCTGTAGATGTGCATTAAATAAAACTAAAGTATGTCTCTCCCACTTACTATTGAATAATATTGACAATGCAGTAGAGAAAAGCTAGACATTTGGTTTGCTTCTTTTCAAGTATTTTGCAAGTTTTGCTGCAAGCAAAGCAGTCATCAACAGAGTCGAGTTTCTTCTGTGAGCACATACCTTCAATACATTTTAAACAATTATTTCAAGGATCTGAAATGTAAAGCTTGGGTTTTAGTCAAGCTTGTAAGGTCTCACCATGAAGATGCTTCTAAATTATTTCAAAGAGAAAAACAAAATAGAAGATTTCATGTTCCTTGAAAAAAATACTTGCATTTGAAATCCTGTACTGAAAAGATTTGAGTACAGTTTAGAAAGCTTTAAGTAAAATGGGAAGGAGTTCATAATCTTTATCCAAGCAATTTCACTGTGGAATATTGATGTCATTTTTATTATAATAATATAATATTATTATGTAAGGTCTAGTAAATAGGCCCCCCTATATATGTCAGGTAGACAAGAAATCAAGTGAACATAGGTTTTATCATTTATTGAACATACACTTATTTTACTCAATGGGAAGAAATTTAGGTTTGAAGAACTGTAATTTCTTTCGGTCCAAGCAGACAGGTCACTCAATACAGATGCTAAATGGCATTTATTATTATTTAACAAAATAATTATTTATATTGATCTTTTAAATTTGTTCATCTCCACATTACTTCCTCCTATAGTCAGTTGCTCTATAAAACTAACAAATCCTCATTGGAGAGCTGTTGACCAGAGACTATTTGAACTATTTTATTTCAACTATGAATTGAACTATTTGCCATGGTTCAAGTTAAATTGTAAATAGTGACCTGCTTGGTTTGGTTTGTCCTGTTCATAATTTCTGATCATCATTTATATTATTCAGTAATTCAATGCAGTATAAGTGACATGAGAGGGGTTTCAAAACTGGTGTCTGAAGTTTTAACTTTCCTGTATAAAATTTGCTGAAAATGCAGTATATAAAGTAGTTAACAGTTTGCAGTAAATGACCTCTTGGTTTTCATCGTTATCCTGAATTTTCAGATGTAGCTTATTTAAAATTTTATCACAATTACATTAATTTTTTAAATTATTATTTTATATTTTTATTTTTCAGGTCTGGCAAAATGTCTCAGCAGAGAAAGAGAATTTTCACGTGGCCTCGAAAAAGGAAGAAAATCAAAGCACCCAGGAGTGTGATTCTCAAGATGTAAGATTAGCTCACCTGAAAAATAAGGCCTAATCTAGCTTGTATGAAAACATGAATGCTTTAGGTGACTGTCAGTGGGACTTCTCCTATTCAGGATAGTAGACATATTAATTTACAAAGCCACTATGTTCTGTATTAAAGTGCTGAGGAGCAAATGCTCCTTGCTGTCAATCTGTGCATGTATATTATCAAGGTTTCTGTTCAAAACTGCTTAATGGAATTGGTAGAGCTGCTGCAGGAAGAGCAGTGGTGGAAAGTGGTGTCATTTGATGTTTAACATTTCAAAAATCTGTTTGTTCCTGGCTGAAGCGTTGCCTGCATTATAGTGAGATGCAAACCCTTGTTTACATATCATTATATTTATTACTAATTTATTTATTTCTAATAGTCAGGCACAGCCTTCACAGCTGCTTTGTTTAACAAAGCAAAGCCTTTGGGAGGATGTAAGACATGACAGCATGATAATTGAAAGGATGTGATATCATTCACTGCCAGTCTAGGAAAGCTGTAAGCTGTGTTTTTCCTATGATGGCTCTGACAGAAAGCTAAATCTGCTGCTTTTACTGAGATAATACACTCAGTCAAACAGCATGGCATGAGCTCTTCTCAGAAATCTCAAATGCATGGATTGTGGCTGTAATTATAAAGATAAAAATAGAACAGGAAAAGAAAAAACAGAAAAAAATGAGCAAGACAAATTTTGTTGTGACAGTCTGCTCTGACTGTTGAGGATTTTCTGCTCAATAGTTCAGAAAGTATAGTGATACTCTGACTAATTTGCAGGTGAAATATATATATATATATATAATACTCAACATATATTGAATATATTGTTATATCTTGAGATAAAACCCTGTGGAGGTAACTGAGTAACTTGCTGTTAGTGATCATAACAGTATGAAGAAAATTCTGGAAAAAAAATCTTACATAATTCAGTATACAATATATTTTTTTAAATTATACAGTATCCATTTATTACAAAGGTGTTATAAGTTTGTTCAGTTATAAGTTACCTCCCTTCTGCCACATCCTCCACAGAACAAGGAGAAATTGCATGTCCATAAGAGTGCTTACTTTGCTGTTGCACATTTCTTAATATCTAAAGGTAAAGGAAACTTCAGTTGTTGATAAAATTTGAAGGAGGGGAAGAAAAACATGTAAAATTATGAAGCTGGAGTGAACTCTATATAGATTATGACTAGAGCTTAGTTATTCCTTGGAATAGTTGTGTGAGGCTTGATGAAATGTAGAACACTTTTAGAAGAGACTGAAATAATTTAGGGTAAATACTTGTGTCAGAAGTTTAAACAGCTCTTTTTTACTGAAATGAATACATTAAAAGAGAAAGAAAAAGAAAATAACTGTTAATATATTTCAAAAATCAAAAGAGTATTTCATTTCAGTATCAAGTACTGTGGTGAAAGACACCTAAAAGATTCACTTTTCCATGAAATCAAGGTTTTAGCTATTTAGATAAGCTGGTGGTTGTTTTTTGTACCTCTAGCAACTAGTATTTTGAACTGTTTAGTCAGTCAGCAGACTGACACACTGTCCATCTTAACACAGGCTAAAATGGACATAAAAATAGTGCAGGTGATGACATTGGTCTAGCAAACTTCTACTTCATCATCACCATCTCACATTAACATAGAGAGAAAGGCACAAGGAAGAATGGAAACTATTATCTTTGAGAACTGAACTGAAAATGTCTCTTTCCACAGTTAGCCTTCATATATTGATAAAGATACCACCTTTCAGTTTGAAAGAGCTGGAAGGAGTTGATTTTTTATTTTCCCAAAGGATCATCTTACTTCAGTAATACAAAGCTGCAGTTTGGACCTGTGCACTTGGAGAAAATTCAACACTTAGGAGGAGTTCTAATTGTGTTTTTTCATTACTTGTCTGTGTGTAATTTTGTCTGAAGTTTTTACAGCAGCTTAACTTCTAATGAAGGAAGATTAAGGTTGGATGGTTAAGGATGTAATGCAGCATTTTTAAGAAAAATTAGTGAAGATGTACTTAAAACTCTTGCTTAGAAACCTAACATTTCAGCAATCCTTTCTCAGAACTTTACAAAGATCCTTTTGTTGTGTCTCTGATAAATAAAATGTGATTTATATTTTGGAAGAATTAAGGTAGTGAAGACTAACTAGAGAAGAACATGCAATCTTACAGATACTGAGGCAAAAAATAAAGCAAAATGGTTATTTGCTGGTTCCAACTGGTGTTTTTAAGTTTGTATGGCTAAGCATCTCTAGCTTAAATTTGTGATCTTTCTGCAATTTTACATTTATGGGGTTTATGGCTGTTCACAGTAATTAGTGTAGTTTACATTATAGCAAATAAAAATGAAACTGTATTGACAAATGGGATACAGAGTAGCAAATTTGGAAATTAGACACTGCTGGTATTTATCTGTAATGAAATTTGACATAGGACCAGTAATAGCCAGAAGTAGGTAGAATATCCTGTGATACAGAATCTGAAATTCATCAAAAACCAAAAAAAAATTAATTTCAATATTGTTGGAAAAGTTTGCATTCTTTAATTTATTTGTACTTTATTAGAAGCATCTTGTCAATACTACTTTTTCTTAGCCTTATCCAGAGATGTTTTCCTATGTCTGACTCCTGAAAGTCTCTGTGCAGAACCAGAGCTCTGCAGAGCTTTTTCCCCTGTATCCCTTCCTTTTTCTGTCTTCCCAAAATGTTGGCTTTTACACCATAATTTACTTCATTCCTTTCTCATGTCCAATAATTCTTATGCATGTAACATATCACTTTAAACCACCTATTTGGTATTGCTAAAACATCAAAGAATTTATCAAATTATTCTTTGTTCTCTGTTGTCATATTAGATTTTTTGCTTTGTCCTTATAGAATCTTCACTGATGAATAGAAGTGATAGTGCTTTTATTTACTGCCTTAATTTCCTGCAGTAAACAAACACTATATGTTCATTATTCATTCAATGACAAAGGACATTCAGTATTGGAGCCAAAATTGCACACATTTCTAAGCAAGTACAGCATTTTGCTTTATTTCCTTCAATCAGTTTCAGTTTCAGAGCTTTGATCACATTGCTCTCTCCAATTGTTTTCCAAAGGGGGTAACAAGAGGAATAAAAAGCCATTTTTATAACAAAATTTCAAACTAATAAAATCCTTAAAGTAAATTTGATTCGGTAAATGAAGACTAGGAAGGTCATAAGAAGTTACATCATCTGAGTTTAAGCATCCCCTCAGCACACTGTGATCTAAACCAGAAAGAGGATATGAAAGACTGCAGAGGTGTCTTCTGAAAAGGTACCTGCACATTTCACATACTTCATGTTCTGCATCCTCCAAACAGTAATTAGAGCAGCTTCCAGTAGAGATCTGTAACAAATTCATGAGCAAATCTGATAAAACATGTCTTGAGTAAACAGCAAGCCTAACCTGGTTAATGGCAACTAGGATAACTAGTTTGTCAGCTGACCTAACCATCCTTTTCTCCTGGATCTGGTTGATTTTCTTCAGAATTAACTCAGTACTTTCTCCCCATCACACTCTACAAACAACTTCTGTATCTGCCTTTTGTGCCCCATGGAGCCAAAAGGAGTAGCAGTGCAAAGGAACACTGAAACTCCAATGTCTGGTCAATTAAATCTGTGTGATGCTCTTTAGGAGCAGCAGAATTATTTTCTAACTGCAAAAGCTGTTATAATACCACTTATTTAAACTTGATTTCCTGTCCACTTGGGAATGGATTATTTGACCTTAAAATGTTATGATTTTTTTCTACCATAAAGCCAGTTCTGATTTGCTGAGTTGATGCAGTAGAAAGCACTTCAAGTTACATGGTTCAGCTGTTCACAGATAAAGTTGCATGATTTGATAGCCAATGGACACGCTGAGTTCTGACTGGCTTGTTGAAAATTTTTAAAATAAAAATGCACCCTTTAATTATCCACCTTTGTCATTTATACATCCAGCTATGAAAATCTCCAGCTTTGCAGTGTTGTTTACTAGGACAATTGAATACCATAACCTCTCAAATTTTCTATACATTACCAATCAAGATGCAGATTTTATAACCAGAATTTCACACACTGATACTTTGTTGATTGGGCTGCATGCTAAGCTGGTGAAAGCAGCACAGCAAATTATTTTTGCTTTTTGTTAGTTTCTACCATGTCAAGCTCTCATTCTGTCCTTTTGTCATGAGTGTACCTCTCATGGGAAGGAATCTGACAGACAGACAGTCACACAGACAAACATACAAACCAATCCACTACCTGGCCTAGAGGGAACTAACCACAATAACAAACATTTAATGTTTTGCTTTCTTTGTCTGTCACCTAACATTTTGAAAGCTATTCTATAGTTCATTGGGTTTAAACTCCTGCACTGATCTTCAGCTGAGGGACACAGAGATACATGTGTTGTGTGTATTTGTGTACTTATGTGTTTATATATCCATTTATATATACACATAAAAGCACATGAATACACACATGGGGGTGTGTGTGTGTGTGTTTATTTATGTGCCTGAGGTCATATGTGGATGGCATTCAGTTTGGGTTCTGTTAAACCCAGTCCTGTGTGTCTGTCTGTGTGTCTAACACCTCACCCCTAGGAACTGGTTACAGTCCTGGCTACTGAACTGTTGTTCTTCAGTCTGTAATTACTTTGGTAATGATACACAATGATTCACAGTGACAGGGAGTCAATAATGAATAGGTCATGCTTTAACATCATGAAGGCATTCCTAAGAAAAAGTCCCTACTGTCTTTCTCCAACATATGGTGTGCTACTAAAAAGAAAAGATCTCTGAGTGAGCAAATATGAAATGCTACAGACAGAAGTTTTTATTGCTCTTTTCCTATGAAGATAGCCTTTTTTACCTGGTCTATGAAAAGAGTATGCAAGATTACTCACCCAAAAAGCATTGTTTTATCATTTGCTGTTATTTCTTCTAAAGCAGACCTGATTTTGTTTTCTTCCTTTGCATATGTCTTAAGAAGTTGACCTTTAGCTTTATTAATACAATTAATAGTTTTTGCTTCCTATCTCCTATAAATTATGTTGGTGAAATAGGTTACCTGATTTCATGTTCTAGTATGTACAGTCAGAGAAAATTCTGGATATGTAAATTATCATATTTAATTACCATTATTTCTATCCTCTTCATTACACATTTTGCAATACTATTGATTGTTTGACCTATAGGATCTTTTGTCCTCAAGCTGCACACCTAGAAGTCATCTAAATCCTCATTTTTTCTGAAGATGATTCAGCTTGAAATTTTTTAAAATCTAGATTAAGAGTAAATAATTTAAATGGAATTTAAATGGAACTTAAAAAGTTTTAAAGCATTAAAAATCTACTAAAAATTGCTACTCTGTCATCTGACTTTTTAGTCTTTATCTGAAACATAAACCATGTTTTGTTTGATTTTTTTTGTCATAAAAGGAGTAGGTGCTTTATCAATAGACTTTATTTTAACCAATACTGCCTTGATTATTCCCTATATGAATCCAACTCTTATTTGCTGCTGGCTAGAGTGGGAAAATATGAAAAAGAGTTCCCCACATCAAATCCATCTGCATCCTCTCAGAGGCTGACTTCAGTACCTTAAACATTACTAAACCCCCCACTGTTACATTGGAAAGAGTCTTGATGACTTAAAATTTCATAAAAACCCTGTCATTTCCACTCCATTTAAATGTATCACTTTTAATAGCAAAAAAAGTAGAGACATTCTAATGTGAACTCCTTTTAGAGTAATGACCAAGTATTATGAATATTTGACTGTATTTCATGCTTCAACTCCTTTTCTTATGACATCCTTAATCCTACTCCTGAAGGTACTTTGGTTTAAATTCAGTAGAATTTTCAGTGTAAATCTCTGGTTTCATATCTGGAGATCTCCTTGGTTTAAAAATCTACCTTGTAATTAATTTTATTTATGCTGTGCAACTCTGTTTTCCCAGATATTAAAAAGCATATTGGCAAAGAATATAACATTATTCCTTGAATAAAATGACAGCAATTAAAGCACCAAGATTTTTCACCTTGAGACTCATCTAATTTCCTCATTCAGTGACTTTATATTCCTATTCAGGGATTATTATACCTTAGAGATCAAGAGTTTAGACAGGAGAATAGTAACAGACAAGTTCTAACTGTAATGCTGATTTTCTACTGTTTTTTACTATTTCATCACCCATAAAAGACACTTGTAATTAATTTTCTGTTCCCTAGGACCACTTGTAGAAGTAAACCTCACTATTGGTGATGAGATTTAAGCATGAAGTAAAAAAGCTGGATAAGTATCAAGTTTCAAATTGTTAAACTGGCTGTATTAAAACTGGCTCTTGTTAAACAAGACTGTATTGTTGAAGACTATTACAGGGATATGGGAAGCTGGGATAAGCTCAGCTATGAAAACTTTGTTCCATTTCCTCAACTAGGCTTAAGAGAAGACCCGGTGATGATTTTTTTTTTTTTTTGAAAACTGAATGTTTTTGGAAAAAATCTGAAGTAGTTATCTCTGCCATTTCTATTGACAGGTTGCCAAGGCATGTTTGGGGAATCGCAATGATTCAACATCTCGTTTGAAGGCAGCAGAAACAGGGACAAGCTTTCAGGTATTCCCTTTCTGAGCAATTGTTGGCTTTTACTAAAAGGTCTTGTGAAATGCAGTTCCTTGAAGTGTACTTACACATTCTTCACCAAGTTCTGTCTCAAAAGAGAAGACTACTTAGTCCAGACTTTGACTGCATCTATTGCAGTTCATCTGTTCAAAATGTTTCCTGGCTGGTAACAATTTGCAAACTATTAAATATTTTAACAGCTGGTAGTCAAATAAATTAGTATTCAAATTACTTGATTTGATAGTGTGATGTCTATAACCCTGAAAGCAGGAGTAGGAGAGATTTCCAAAATAATTAAATATTAAATACATATATAATCGGTATATATATATAATTGGTATATATATATGTATATAAAATATGCAGTGATATGAAGCTGTCTGCAGCATCAGACTTGTATGGTTTTGCACTGTGCAGGTTGTTAATCATGCTTTCTTTAAGAGAGATCAGGACTCTTTTCTAGGGACAATTCCATTGCCATGGAATTTCAATGTACTTTCTTTTATTTCTGCTTACATATATATGTTTTCTATACACCATGTTTTTACCTCTGCAGAAGTTTCACAGCCCTCCATGGACTACACCTGAAGATAAAAAATCACCTGAAAAGAAGGAGAAAAAATATGAAGAATCAGTCAGTAAACCAGAAAAAAAACTCTAAATGCTACTAATCTACATTGAAAACTGCCAGTCACTTCCATCCTCATGTTCTGTTAGCACAAAGGCATGAAATGTCCCAGGTTTCTAAAGCATGGATTTTTCACTATTTTATGAATGTCTGTAAATTAGTCTAGAACAGACCAGTTAGTACCTTACAGCAATAATCCAAAATGGATGTTTGAAGAAATGCTTTGTAATGCACTCCAGTTTTTGAATTCTTGTTCTACCTTATCTACCTAGTAATTGTATACTATAAATTACCTTCTTTGTAAACAACAGACATTCTCAAGTATATTTCTCAGATTGTTTTATTTCATGTAATTTTGTGGCTGATTAGTTTCTAATATTAAGGGGCAGTGAGTGTGTGTGGGGGAAGTTAGCTGTGTAACCATATTTGAAGTACAATCCTTAAGTGCAACTGTAAAAAGAGAACTGTGTGCGTGGGGCTCCATGTATACTTACCTTTTAGTATTTCCATCTCAAATCTACTTACTTACACAATAAAATATGTTTATTTTGTTCTTTTTTTCCTCACTGCTATCTTAACTAGTCCATTTCTGAGCACTGAAAAGCTGACAGAATTGGAGTTTCAGGGATGGAGATAGAGAGGATCATTACTTTGGGGATTCAAGCAAAAGAGTTTGCAGGTAGTACTGAGTTACAGTTTCCTAGCTTGGATGGCAGCCATGGGAAGTCAGTTTCATCCCCTATATTTGTGCTGATCTCAACAGAATAAAATATACTTCAAAGAGTAAAGCCCTGTTTTGTCCATGACAGTTGGCCTTTGATCACTCCATCAGGGAGGATTGATTGCAGCAAGCTCTGTCACTCATGGGTTATTTCAGTTTCTCCTCAGTCACATACTCCATGACAAGAAAGCAGAAAGAAAGGGAGGAGAAAAGAGAATGTTTTGCTTGTCTGTGTGTATGGCATTATAGGTCAAATTTAAGAATTCATATGCTGCATCTTTTTGAGATGCAAATCTTTCAAGAACAGTTGGACTAGTAAACTGCCTGATGCAATGCTATGCAATCCCTAGCAAGAAGTGTTTCAAGCATTTGTAACTTGTAAACGTCCACCTTTGTCCTAATGCACATCTCAGCACATTTTTTACTAGATTTAAAGTAGTTACAATAATTTACTTCTTCTTGCTTTGTATCAGTTTAAAAGCAAATAGACAAAGCTTTTATTTGCTTAGTGGTCCTCTGTCTTCGGTTTTAGCATTTAAGATTTTACCTCTCCTTCAACACCTGCCTTTTCCTTGCTGGTATGAATAATCTTTCACCCTGACACTTTGTATATGCTCCTCTACTCAAAGGTAGATAGTTGCAATTTCTCATTCTTGAGAAAATACAATTCTAAAAAGAAAAAAACCTCATGAGCTGACCAAATGATGGCAAAATAGGGTTTAAGACTATCCATGTTAAGAGTCAAAAGAAATAAAATTGTGGCCACAAAATTAATCAGAAAAGAGATATGGCTTTTTGCATCTGATCCTAAATCTTGCTGAAGACAGTCTGCTGTCTTTCAAAATAATCAGTGAGCAAGAGACTTGTGATCTTCTCATATCTACAGCTGGCATTAATTTCTAGTGATGCCAAAGGCAACATTTCTTTGCATATGACACACCTTAACTGAAAAGGCCACTGAAACTCTGTTTCAGTCACCTGTCAAGAAAGGATCTCCACTGCACAGTGGCTGAAGCCCTCCAGCAGGACAAAGGCCTGTGAGCACAATGTAGCTTTAGAAAGAAGCCTTTGTCAATAGGATCCCCTTCATCAGGCAGCCTGTAGTAGATACCAGCCACAAGGTTCCTTTGCTGCCTTGGGCACTGATTCTTATCTAAAAAGCTTGCCTTGCTCATGGCTGTTCTTCAAAGACAGCTCCTCACATGGAATCCACTTCTTGATGCAGAGGGCAATCCCTCCACTCTCCCTCCTGCCCTTATCTGCTGAACAGGCTGTAGCTATCAGTAGTGACACTCCAGTCATGGGATTCATCCTGCCAAGTTCCAGCAATGCAACAAGGTGATAACTTTCCTGCAGCACAGTGGCTTCCAGCTCCTCCTGTTTGTTGTCCATGCTGCATGTGTTGATTTGCAGGCACCTCAGCCTGCCTGTCAGCCATGTCACCCTCCCAGAGGAACACCCCTTTTCTTCCTTTGACATAATTTTCTGGTGTTTTGCCTGTCAGCTTTTGTTACCTTTCCTTTCCTGACAAAGCCAGCCCTAGAATTGCCTTGGCCTCTTACCACTCCCTTGCACTTCATTGCCTTGCATGCCCATCTCCTGCCTTGACTTGCTTACAGCTTTTGTCCCTGGCCTTGCTCAGCTTTGTCTGCCCTTCCTTTGCCTTGCCTTTCCCATCTGAACCTTGCATTTCCCTACTTAACCTCCATGTCCTTCCCTTGCCCTTCCCACCACTCCATCTTCTTGCTTTGCCATAGTCAGTCACACTTCACCTTGACTTTCCTACCTCTTTTTTCCTGTCTTTGCCTTGCCTTGCTTTCTTCTATGACTCATTGCCTTGCCTAGCCTTACCTTGCCCTGTTTTGCCTTTCTCTGATCGGCAGACTGTACCTTGCACCAGAAACACACTGAAGAGAAGTGCTCTCCTTCCCAAAGAGTGGAACTGATGTTCTCTGGCAAGAGCTCACCACCAACAGTTAGATACTGCCAGCAATAAAGATCTCACAAATAAACAGACCCCACATGAAAGGTGGTAGGACAGAAAGTCCTCCTGGTATCAGCTCCCTGGGCAGCCTATAACCTCCACCTGAAACACTGGCATTGCATGCTTTCCTTCCCATGCAAGAAAACTTCCTGAATTTTCCAAAGGCCTGCCAAAAATTAGGTTTTGGCTTACAACAATATATTCAAGGATTGCTCTCACACAAGAGAGAGAAAGACAAAAGGAACTTGTTGGCATTTACTTCCCATGGGCAGCTTATTACCTACAATTTAGACACTGACTCCATGCTTTCCTTTCCAGGAAAAAGGCCTTTCCAACACTTCTGCAGGCAAGCCACAAAATGAGGATACAACCTCCAATAATAAATACATCCAAGGATTCCACACAACAGAGAACAGAAGAAAAGTGATGGATGCCATTTACCTCCCATGGACAGTTTATTAACTCACCTGAAGCACAGTGGGTACATGCTTTCCTGCCCAAGGAAAAGCTCTTTCAACAGGCTAGCAATGATATGATGACAAAGACTGGGAAGTATTGCTCCTACACAAGAGAGGGCAGGACAGAAGTGATTCTTCAGCATTTACCTATCTCAACATGCTATAACATGCACCTAAACCACTGCAGCAACATCCTTCCTTTCCCCTGCAAAGGCATGTTTTTACACTCTCAACAGGCCAGCACCAAAACAGGGATACCACCTCCAGTAATGAACGTGTCTGAAGGCTGTTCTCACACCAAAGTGGCAGGACAGAAGTGGCTTGCTGGCACTTACTGCCTGCTGGAAGGCTACAACCTACATGTGAAACACTGAGGCTTCATGCTTTTCTTCCCATTGAAGCCACACACCAACACTTAGATACTGCAATCAAGAATGAGCGTGTCTGAGCACAGTCCTAACACAAAAATGGTAGGACAAAAAAGTCTTGCTGATCTTTACCTCCCAGGGCAGGTAAAGATGTAATCTTTACAATCTGTACATGAGCCGCTGTGGCTGCACGCTTTCATTCCAATGGAAAAGCCCTTGTGGAAATATGAAAGTGTATGCTGCTGCATATGGCTGAGGAGCAAATTGCACACCACCGTGAGGGGGGTGCACTTACCGTGCTGCAAGGGAAAAAGGTGTGTGCCACTTCATATTGGAATAGGTGCTTGAAAATAAGAGTCGTGTCAGTGAAATCCTTCTGTCCTGGAACATTTTGTTTGAGAGCAGTGACGAGACTTTCCACGTTGGATCTGCGCGTTTTGTGGTCTGAAAATACCGTGATACATTCACTTCTTTGGCAAGTGCACCCTGCCATCTAGCGGAGCTATTGAAAGGCAGCTGTCCTGGTTTAGGGCACATTCTGCAGGAAACCTCCGAATCGGGGTCCCTCTAGAAAGCAAATCCAAGTGGCCCCTCGCCCAACTGGTTCGAGAAGAGATTTCCTTGGAGAAAAGTGGAAAAAACCTGTTTGTTTAACAGGCAAAGCATTCAGCAGCACAAAAATTGAACAATATTAAACAATGACACCTCCTGCAGGAGATGACAAGCTCCCCCTCGTGGGCTGTCACTCCAGGACAGTGGCAGGGGAAGGCAAAAGCCAACAAGTCCTTTCTCCTGATACCCTCAGTGTGGGATCAGTCAGTGGGGCAGCTCCTTTTCAGATCCTGCATTGGTGAGGGAGAAGAAATGTGGAGGTGTATAAACCTGAGAGGAAAGTGAATAAGGCCGTGTTATGTGAGCACATTAGGGACTGGGAAAGAAAGGAGATGCCTACATACAAATGTCATTTTGTTCCAGGATCTTGTTTTTGGGAGCACTGCTGGATGGTTTAAATCTGAACTATCATTTCTACAAGATAGAATGTGCTGCTGAGAAGAAAAGCACATAACAACAATGTGTGTGGTGCAGTTCAAGGGGAGTGAGGGAAAGGTGAAGCCTGCAACAGCTTTCTCCTCTTGCCCATTTTGTGTACAAGGCTTCTGTGTGATATTTTAAATTTTGTAGCTAGCGTCTTCAAAAGTGAAATTATTTGATATTACATACAATTGGAGAGGAATTCATATTGTCCCTTGAATATTGTGCAAATTAAGCATTTCAAATGGACAGTGAAGAGTTTATGCAAATTCCTTCTCAGTTCAGTAACTGCTGCCACCATTAAAAAAGTCCTAGAACAAAAAAGAGTGCTGGGCATCAATCTTCCCCTACAGTCTAAAACTGCACAACACACATTGTTGCAATGCTTTTTACTTTCACCTGTATGCACTCTTATATTTTTTTCTCTCTCTCTGAGGCCAGCCCTATAATTTTAATCTGGCCACAAACAGTGACAGGGACAAAACAGTTTTTGGGTTTAACATACATCAAAGAATATCAACAACAGCACGCTGCCAAGGGTTTTGAGCTTTCCTATCCTACCATGTGTACTACCACATTCTTTCTAACACATAAAACAAATGGCTCTTGCAGCTTTCCTGTAAACTGTACTACACACATACTGGAGCTGTGGCTTTTATTTCCAGCTCTATCTACCTTTAGATTTTTTCACTTTTGCAGAGTCCAGCTACAAAATCAAAAACGTCTGGCAAAACTCTTGGTCACAAAAAGAGACCAGAAAATTTTTGCTGGCTCCTCTTTTAACATGCATCCTCTGAATTTTAAGCCACCCCACAGAGCTGTGCAGTTTCCTATTGGACTGCATGTACTGTTGCAGAGTTCAACTTCAAAAGGTAACAGGTTAGTAAATTGTTACCATACTAAATGTCATAGAACAAAAAGCCAGAGTTTTTCACTTTCTTCTTACAGCTTATAAACTGCTCCACACAGTTCTGTGTTTTCATCCTCAGTCCTACATAAAACCATACATTTTCAGTCTTGCAAAGACTAGCTACAAAATTAAAAGCAAAAAAATTCAGCAGCTAGTCTCACAGACCACAGTCCAGAAGAAAGAGCAAGTGCTGGATTGAACCCCTCTTTTTCAACCCATAAACTGCGCTGCCAACAATAAGACTATTCTCTTTCCTTCCCAGATATATGCAGGATCTCGTTCTTTCAGTCTTGAAAACCAAAGAAAACAGAATCCAAAACTGCACCTCTCCACTTACTGCTCCCAAACAAAGGTGCCAGGAGAAAAAGCTCTTGGCTTTTACCCTGCCTCTGTCGCTGTTTAACAGTTACGCTAGACGATGATGTTTATTTGCAAAAAAGTAAAGGGACAGTGGCTAACTAAGCAACCAAAAGTACAGATCCAAAGTTGAAAATGTCACTACTCAAACACAGCATGTCAGGACAGAAGGATGCTTGGTTTCAATGCCTGGATTCAACAAACAAAATTTATAGCTGAGTTCACTCCTGAACCCAATCCAGGGCTTGCTTCCACAAAAACGTTGCCAGGTTAGAAAGTGTATAGTAGGCCTTTACCTTCCATTGACAGCCAGAAGAGAGCCAGAAACACCAGAGCTGGATGCTTTCCCTCCTATGGAAAAGAACTCTCAAACACTTTCAAGAGCACACCATCAAAATTTGTATAATATATACAGTAACTTATATGTCCAAGGATTGCTCCAACACAACATTTTCAGGACAGAAAAAACCTGATGGCCTTTACCTTTGATGGGCAGCTGCAGCAGATCAGTTGTTTCCCTTCCCAAGGAAAGGGACACCCAGTTCTGATATTTGGTGTACAGCTAACATTGAATATTTCTACTGAATTGCTCCCACATGAAAGGTCCCTGGACATAATGATTTTGCTGGCCTTTACCTCCCATGAGAGTATTTTATCAGCTATACCTGTGTTGAGGAACACATGGAGAGGCACAACAGGAGCCATGTACTATCCTACATTTGGATAGCAAAGGACATGAAAACCAGCGGTGCCACCTAGGTGGATGGACAGTGAAGGTCTCAGTGGAAAGTGGAATTTGTGCATGGGTGGACTGCAAAGGTTTAAAACCCAAGGGGTTCCTCTGTTTGGGGTCCCTGGTCAGAGGCACCCAGCTCGAGCTGTTTCTGTGTTTCTCTGGCATAACTGAGTTGCATAATAGAACAGTTTGATGCTATATTATGGAAAATCTAGTATTGAACAGGTAAAGAGACCTGGTCTGTTGTTGTTCTATTATTTCTCTAGAGCCCCATAATGATATTATCAGACTTCTAAAGTCCATACCTCCTTGGTGTATTCTCATGGCTGCAGATCTTCACTGCCTCCTTCTGCTGCCTGTTGTTCTCTCCCAGTTCAGGGCTCCTCCAAGGCTCTCCCTGACTGGCCAACCCACCCCCTTTTATCCCAGTTATCTTCATTGGTCACAGCAGCCCATCAAGGACAACCAGGACCTCTTTGTAGGGGCAAAGCCTCTACACAGATATTCAAGTACAACACATTTCCTCTACTATACTGGTCTGTGTGAGAGTGGGGGTATGAAGGGGGTCAGCCAAGACACCCACAAGGCTCATTGGCATTGCCCACTACAAAGAGGCTTCAGTCCCACCAGTTAAAGTATCTGGTAGTGGGAGTGCGAACTGCAAGAGCACTTCCTGAATGGTCTGAAAGGGAAGTTTCCCTAATGCAGAAAATGTGAGAAAACACTGAAATTCTTAAGATACTAGCCCACCTGTGCTCTTTCAAAAGTATTTCAGTCATAGCCACATTTGATAGCTCTTATATGAATCTAAATTCACAAGTGTGTATTTGGAAGAGACCAGAGGAAAATCTGAGTGGCTCAAGACAACAAGGTGGGAAAGCAGCAGAGGAAAAGGGTGAGCTCTGCATGGGTGGGACAGTTAGCTCACCTCCTCCTCCCAGCCCTGCCCCTGCTCTTTGAGCTCTTACACTTGGCTGCATAGCAATTGTTCATTTGAGAAGTCAGCAGCAGGTGAGCACTGGAACAGGTGTGGCCGAACACATGGGACCTTCATAAGCCCCAAAATGTTGCCAGGAAGGTGTAATGCACCAGGTGCAAGATTTTGGAGCTGAAATTACCATTGACCTGCCTGGGAGAGGGCCCCAGGGGTCTGAAACTGATAAAGAGCAGCAAGGTGTGTGTCCTGTAGCACACTCTCCAGCCTTGGATTTAAAGCTGTTTACAAAACACTGGATCTCTCTCTCTCACCCCTTCCCTCACCCTTACATTCTTCTCTTTGAAATGTATTTTAAGCCTGATGGAAAAAAAATTCAAACCATCGAAGATTCAAAACCTTGCCAAGTGTCTCATTCTATCTGGATATTCCAAAGCTGCCAAGTGCCTTATCCTGTCTGTTTGTTCTAAAGTCTGCAAGTAAAAGTTCTTTATACTAAAAACATGGAGAACTTAGTTTTTTCTCCCTCACACCACTTACATTATATCCAACTAACCTTCTCCTAAATCCTCTGAACAAGACCAGATATTTCCCTTACTAGAAGTCTTCCTTGAGGGAATTTCAGTAAGATTAAAATCTTGTCAAAATTAAGTCAGGATTTAAATTATTAAAACAATTAAAGATGACCTTGAACTCTTTTTTTACCTGTGTGTCTGCCTCCTAAAGTTCCATGGGGCAGGGTTTCTCCCAGACCAAAGCTGCCACAACCAAGAACTCAGGCTGCCCTTGGAGTGCCAAATGCCTCCTCCAAACTGACATCAACACACTGGGGGGATGAGTTTTGTTTGACAGGGAAAAGGGCCAAGCTTTGTTTGACAGGGAAAAGGGCCGGCCTTCGTTTCCAGGGGCATGTAGCCCCAAGTGGGCTGCCACCTCCTAAAATTGCAAATGGTGCAGGATTTCTCCCAGACCAACCTGCCACCACATACAACTCGGGCTGCCCTTGGAGTGCCAAACACCTCCTGCAAACTGACATCAGGATGAGTTTTGCCTAAGGTGATGAGTTTTGTTTCCCATGGAGAAGGGCCAGCATTCGTGCCCAGGAGGCTGTGACCCTGCCTGGGGGCCTGTGGCCCCAAGTGGCCCTTGTGCCTCCTAAAATTCCGAATGGCACAAGATTTCTCTCAGACCAGAGCTGCTGCCACCAAGAATACAGGCTGTGCTTGGAGTGCCAAAGGCCTCCTCCAAAATGACATCAAAACACTGGGGGGGGGGGGAGATTTGTTTGACAGGGAAAAGGGCCGGTGTTCATGTCCAGGGGCATGTGGCCCTGAGTGGGCTGTCACCTCCTGAAATTTCCAACAGTGCAGGATTTTTCCCAGACTGAACCTGCTGCCATGTACAACTCAGGCAGCCCTGGGAGTGCCAAATGCCTCCTGCAAATT